TAAGTTCCCCTTCTATTCCCTCATCTAAGTCGTTAATGAAGATATTGAAGAGTCCTGGGCCTAAGACAGAACCTTGTGGCACCCCACTGCTTACTGCTTACTTCCCTCGATGTAGGCATAGTACCATTAAGACTACTTGTTGAGTATGCTTTGTCAGCTAGTTGCGAATCCATCTGGTGGTGATGCTGTCTATCCCACTTTTTTCTAGCTTACCTAAAAGTAGATTGTGGTCTACTTTGTCAAACGCCTTGCTGAAATCTAAGTCTATTATGTCCGCAATATTTCATTGGCCTACTAATTTAGCCACTTTGTGAAAGAACAAAATAAGTGTCAACTCATAAAATATTTCTGTGGTCTTTTAGAGTTGCCAACAGAAAGGGAGGGAGAAGCAGTGGGCAGCTTGTTTTCAGAGATAGTTTCAGAGATAGTTTCTAGGTGACCAAAGTTTCTGCCACGCAAACTTCTAACTGCAGAGTATGATTGATGACTCTTGGCTATGGATGTATCCCATTGGAGAATATGAATTACGATACAACCAGGGGGTGTGGGAAAATCAGGGTCAAGGGTGGCGATGAATGATGTGTCTCAGAGTCAGCTACACCCAGGCAGTGCCACATTTTAACTCCCAATAAATCATTTTGGAGTTTGGCTAGAGACTCATGATTTAAATAGGGTTAATTGTCAAAATCCTGACAGTTAGCCAACTCTCCTAATTCATCACCATTGTCGGGAAGGAGGAGATGTTGGGAAGGAAGGAGGAGGAAGGAAAGGGGGAAAGGAGGGGAAAGGAGGGGAAAGGAGGGGAAAGAGAAGAGGTGCAGGAGGAAATAGGAAGAAAAGAGGAGGAAGAGAAGAAAAGGAGGAGGAGGAGGAGGAAGAAGAGGAAGGAGAAAGAGAAGGGGTAGAGGAGAAAATAGAAGAGAGGAGGAAGAAGAGGAGGAGAACCAAGGAGGAAGGAGGAGGAAGGGAAAAGGAGAGGGTAGGAGGGGAAAGAGAAGAGGTGGAGGAGGAAATAGGAAGAAAAGGGGAGGAGGAGGAGGAAGGAGGAAGGAGAAGAAAGAGGAAGAGGAGGAAGGAGGAAGGAGAAGAAAGAGGAAGAGGAAGGAGCTGAAGAAAGGAAGGACAAGGAAGGAAGAGCATGATGAAAAAGGAGGAAGGTGGTCCCCAGCACGGAGGGAGCAGGGAATCCTTTTTTAAGCAGGAGGGCCCCAGGCCAGCATGACCCCCCAGGGCCCTTTCCCTGAACCCAGTGCCGGTCCCCGCTGCCTCACTTCCCTTCCTGTCTCCCGCAGGGCAAGTGGCCCTCCGTCTCGGCCCTGGACATGTCTCCTCCGTCCTCCCCCGGGGATGGCCTGGCCCCTCTCCCCGCCACAGGGTGCGGCTTCATCAAGGGCCACCGCCGTTAAGCCTCCTGCGGCTCCGTCTACCCCCAGGCCCCAAACAAGGGCGGTGCCTCCCCCTCAGACTGCTGCATCATCCGGGTCAGCATGGCACTGCAGAACGGCACGCTCTACAAGAGCATCTTGGTGAGTGGGGCGGGGGAGGAGTAGGGCTTGGGGGTTTTCACACTTAACGACAGTTACAGCCTCCCCGTGGTCACCTGGTCAAAGTTCAGATGTTTGGCAAGTGACTCGTCTTTATGACAGTCACAGTGTCTCGAATTCATGGGATCCCCTTTTGCGATCTCCCAACAAGCAAAAGTCAAGGGTGGAGCCAGAATCAACTAAACAACCAGGTTACTCACTCAACAACTGCAGTGATTCACTTGAGGGACGTGGCAAGGAAAGGTGTAGAAATGGGCCGAAATTCACTCATCTCGCTTAGCAACAGGAATTTTGACCTCGGTTATGGTCGTAAGTCAAAGACTACCAGTATTTATTAGTTTTATTAAATTGACATGCCATCCGTCTCCCTGATAGGGTAGGCAGGTTACAGACGATAAAAAGATAAATAAATAAGCAATTATTTTTTTAAAAAAAACGAAGCAAACCGCCATGTTTGTAGTTTAGCTCTCTGGGTGTCAGGTGGTGCTCCATTCAAAATTCAAGAAAGAAATACTTAGACTCTTTAGATTAGAGAAAATATATCTTTTACTGAAAATGAAGTGGTAGCATCAGTAGAATTCTGAATCTGAGAAATTAGGTGCGCAGATCACATATACAAAGTGATGAAGTTGTTCCCACCCCCCATAGTTCAAATGATTCTTCCAATTAAAAGTTGTGAATATGATCATGTGGACATCTTCAGGTGGTGATGAGGTCTCTGTCCGTTGACCTTGGCATATATATATATTTTTTTTAAAAAAAACAAGTTTTATTTTCAAGACAAACAATACATAAATACACATAAACACAAAACATAAAAGCATAAAAAATCTCTTTTCTGAAAGTTGCTTAGTCCTGGGTTAAAACTCTTGGTACAGACACAAATTCAAATTCATATTCATTTTACATACCATTTCATATCTTATTAACATTTTCAATTTTCTATATGACTTCTACTCTCCTTTAAATTTTCTCAATTTTATTTTATTTTATTTATCTCCTCTCAATTCGTATCATAATATTTATTATTCTTTGTCTGTTCTATTCCAGCCAACCATTTATTTTTCTTCTTTAAAAAAAGAAGAAAGACTTCTCCTGTACACTATATGGAGTATGATGCCTTTATCTCTTTCCCCTATATTTATAATACTTAATATAAAACACATGACATACATTGGGATTCTGTCTGGTACATTCTAAAATTATACTATATTATCAAAAATAATACAAATCTATTCATTAGTATTGATATTCATTCATATCTTAAACGTTTAACTCATTGCTTTTCAATTAAATCACATACTTTTATGGGAGCCCTATTTTCCATAATTATTCCCCCCCCACATCACATATTATAGCTCAATATTTCATTAAAATGTTCCTCCTTCTTCTACTTCAAATCTCATTTCACAAAAAAATTCACTAGTATACCATATTCTAATCATTAATATTAACAATCATTTATATCTTAAACATTTTATCCATTTCAATTAAATATCATGCCTTTGTGGGAACACTTATGCTTTCCAAAGATTATTACCCCCGCCCACATCACAATCTTGAATCATGTTTCATTACAGTACTCCCTTTTTCTTAACCAAAAATTTCACTAATTTATGTTAAATATTTTATCACATTTTAAGTTACATATTATTTCTAATTTTCTATGATTACTTCTAAATACAAGTATTAAAATGCAATCTTATGTACCTTTCTAGAATCCCTTTAACAATAAGATTTATCCATTATCTCTAAAAAACTTTTGCTTCTTAACATCTTGCTCCCCACCATTAGGACTTCTCATCCCTTCCTTTCTCTCTTGCTTCTTCTTCTCCTTGTCCTCTTTAACCCCTTGTCTCTCCACCTCCCTTTTATTCTGCTTTCCCCCTTTCTGTTGTTTCTTAACATAATGTCCCCTTTTCACCTTATTCTTCTCTTTTTGGGCTGTTTTTCCAGATCTTAAAGACCTTTTTTCCTTTTTCTCTTGCTTTTTCCCTTCTCCAATCAAAGTCATTTGTTCATCAAAGATGGCTTCTTCTTCTTCTTTGTCCCCATCATCCTCATTCTGCTTCACATAAGTATAAACCGCCATTTCTAAGTATTGAAAAATAGTGCCAAGACCATCTTCCCCTCCTTGTTTTTCTCTTTCATATTTTTGATATATAAGTTTCAATCCATCCATAGATGATGCCATTGTGTAGAGAAAAAGTTTTTCCAAACAACCACCCAGATGATTTAATCAGAAGTAATTTCCAAAGGTTCCAAAATCACCAAACAATCCAAACAGACTGTTTCTTTTAGATACCTTCTTCTTCTTGACTTTCTCTTTCTGGGGTTAAAGTAATCACAAATCCTTTTCAAATATATTTTTTGGAAGTTTTTTAATGTTTAACAACTCTTTGCAATGCTAGGCAATCTTCTCCTTATTTTCAAATTTTGCTCTAATTTTTTTCACTCTCCCTTCCCACTCACAGCCAAAAAGGTTTGTTTTTTTTCCGCTGTCACTTTAGGAAGGAGAGTAGAACAAAGAAAAAACTTTCCCCTTTAGAGTATTCGCAGCTTGTAACTCTCACAAGGAACAATATATACTTAGCAGCCTTCAAGGTTCCAGGTCACTTTCTCCTGTCTTGTCCCGGTTAGAAGCAACTTTCACTTTTCTTCCAGCTTTCTCCCTCCTGCACCTGCTTGTCCGGCTGCAGCTTTCTTCGTGGCGGCCATTGCTGACCGCCGTTCCTCCGCCTAGGGAAAAGGGGGTTTAGCCGGCTGGGGAGGGGGTTTGCGACACCCCCAAACCCCTTGCCAGACCCCCCCTGTCTTCAGCTGCCTCTACGTGGCAGCTATATCCCCCAGATCCAAATGTATCGGGGGAACCTTGGCAGCGAACGCAGCAGGGATCACGCGGTCGCGAATCCCTGCCGCCGCCGAAAGCTTGCAAACCGGAAGTCCTACCTTGGCATATTTTGATAAAGATTTGCAGCTGCACAGAGAAAAGAAAGCTAAGCGAGAAATAGAAACCTAAGCAGGAATTTATACTCCTCCTCTCCTCATTTACACAACACAAGAATGTAACACCTCCAGCTCTCTTCCCAGATGTTGCCCCCCCCGTTACTTATGGCAGCCAAAAGATGCAAAGCAGTAGTAGATCTTGAAGGCTGACACTGGGTTTCAATCAATCCTGGCTGAGTTCCAGTTTTTAGCAAGCAGGGTTGAGCTCTTTTCACCAACCAACCGGACCGCCATTCCACTTAGAGGTCCCTGCAAGGGCTGCAGATGCTGAACAAGGCAGACCAAGCATGGGAAGGGTGCTGTTGTGGTTTGCCAGCAACAGGTGCGGATGGCTGAGGCCTCGGAGAGCGAAGCCTCGGACGAGGGGCCTACGTGTGCTGCAGGGATGGGGCCAGGACTATCGGAGAGTGGGGTGCTCCCTTCGGAGGTTGTGGAGGCTGGCAGCAGTGACGCAGAAGACCCCGAAGAGCCTGTGCCCAGTGCGCATGCACACAGGGATGCTCAAAGGAAAGAGCAGCTAAAGCATCAAGGCCAACTCCGGAGTAAGGTTGGCAGGTGATGATGGCCTCTCCCATAAGGGATAAAAGCCAGCCTTCGGGGTTGGCTTCTTTGCAGGAAGCAAAGAAGTTCTTTATGCTCAGAGTCCTCGTCCTCCAGTTTGTTTTTTGGAAACTTCTGGCTTGGGATATTTATCTGCAATTAGTCTTTCGTTCTTGGCAGCCTTTTGCAACCTTGAATCTGGGACAATGAGTTTTAAAAGACTTGGCTGTGAATGCACAGAATTCACAGCGTCGCATTAAAAGATGTTTGCTTTTATACATACTTTGTGTTTTTTTAACAAGGCTTGGGTCAGAATAGGTGCCGATCTCGCTTGGCAAGTGCTGGGTGACATTTCTGCCTTTGGGGGAGGCATCAACGGGGCTGGCCGACTGACCCCCTTTCTCCATCTTCCTCCCCAGGTAACAAGCCAGGATAAGGCCCCCACCGTGGTGGCAAAGGTGCTGGAGAGACACAACCAGGACACGAATCTGGCACATGACTACGAGCTGGTGCAGCTGTTGCCGGATGGCCGAGGTGAGGAAGAGGGGAAGGGCTGTCGGTGGGGCTAGCCTGATGGCCCCACAACGAGGACCAGGGTGTGTGTGTGAATGTGTTGTGGCCACATGGAGCATTTTCTGGAAGTCACCCTGACCTGCTGGGGTCCCTGCAGATCTGATTCCGGAAAGCAACATCTCTGCACACACGAGACCTGTGTTCAAGTTCAGATTTGAGAGGGGCAGCCTGCTGAGGCCTGGTGTGTGGTGGGCGGAGGGTTGCAGGGGTGGGGTTGCTGGGGAGGAGGGAAGTGGGGTGTCTTCCTCCTTGACCCTCCCTCTATCTCCCGCAGAGCTGGTCTTCCAGCCCATGGCAAACGTCTTCTACGCCAGGAATGGCTTCAGCCTGGACTTCCTGCTCCGGCCCAAGGGCCCACCGAGGAAGACCCGCCCTCCCACCCCCCCACTCAGGAGCCCCCGAGCCAGGGAGATGGACATCAGCGCCACCTTCCCAAAGATCAAGGCCACTGGCCGCAGGATCGCCCGGGCTCTTTTCTGAGGGGGAGGAGCTCTGGAGGGGGGCACCCACACAGCTCTGTTGGGGACCCCAGGCCAAGACTGGGAGCTCCACCCAGGACATGAAGTGGGGGGGGCCCTTCAGCAGCACCCCAAGTTGTGCAAGAGTCTCAGAGTCTCCACTGCCCAGAGGACCCGAAGGCAGGAAGGATCGTGGGGCTGAGAGGAGTAGCCCTGGTAAAGGTCCCTCAGGTGGTCTCAGGTGACTGAAGGGTGGGGCGTGGCAACACAGTCCCATAAGTAAGAAGAGTCCTTTAGTACCTCCAACTTTGCCCCCAATGTCCAGTTCCCTTCGGCTGCAGAAAAAACTCTCCCAAGAACAGCCTTTAAGTGGAGGAAATTCAGTCCAAAACAAAGTCCATGCAAACTGTAGCTAAAAATCCACACAAACCACACTGCAGCAATTAACTGGACAGGGCAGGAGAAGGAATTGCAGCCTTGAAAGGCCAACAAACACACACACAGTTGGGAAGATGCCAGGAACCCAGATGAGCCTTGACAAACAAAGATAACTCACGATTTGCTTCCAGAAACTTTGCTGTGCGCAAACTCCCTTTTTAAACACTGTGTTCCCAGTCGCAGCTGATGAAGGGAATCAGGCCCTTTCCTCCCCTGTAAGCCATGCAACTCACATTGCTCCCTTCTCTGTTCTTCCCTGCATGCCCTAGAATGAAGAGGGGGTGGGCCTGAGTCTTCCTCCAAATTCCCACTCCCTTGTTCTACCTCTCCCCTGCTCAGCCCAGTCGGACCGTGCCCCTCCCCAGTTTCTTCCCCAGCCAATGGAGCCACACTCCCGCTCCCAGTCAGCTGCTCGGCCTCCCGACAGGGGCATGATAGCTTTCTTTGCTGCTTCTCCAAGGAGATTCTCTCCTGTATGTGTGTGCGTGTGTACACCTGCACGCCTGTTCACAGGACCTTTGCTGAGATACAAATATGGAGGAGGGGGCTGATTTTATTCCCCCCATCCCCCTTGATGGCTTCTCTGCCCTCCGAGAGTCTGTGAAAGGGTCCATTTTCTGGTCCTCCTTCCCCAAGTGGTGGGAGCTGGGTTGTTTTTTGGGGGGAGTGGGGTTGCATAAAGGTTGTGGGGGAAGCTGCTGACCAGGGTGGGTCATCTCTCAAGAAGGGGGGGGGGTCCCAGGCTGGCTGGAGAATCCTGAATCCTCTGGGATCTTCCTGGATCCGGTGGCCTTGGCTAAGGGCAAGAAGGATGTCAGGTGGAGGGTCGCAGCTGTTGGTGTGAATGGGGGAGGGGGCTCTGTTGAGCAGGAGAGATTGGGGGGCTCTGGAGAGACAGGCAAGCATGGGCCAGACTAGATGGCCTCTACCTACCCACCTGAAAAGGAAGCCGGTGAGTCTCAGCAGGAGAAAGTCCAGGTGCGATTCATCTCACCCACCGGCCAGGTTGAGTGTCCGTCTTCCGAACTTCCCCCGCGGTCCCTCCCCACTTCCTCCTGTATTTAGAGGAGGGGGCAAGGACCAGGGAAGGTGAGACCCCCTTGTTGCCCCCCTTTAGGGTTTCCGCTCTACTCTAACTTTGTCCTCTCCCTCTGGACAAGGGGAATTGGGTTCCCACGACGTCTTCCAAACGGCAGGAGCTGAGAAAGGCGGGAGGAGGGGTGTTTCAGGGAGACGACCAGGCAAGGCTGAAAGAAAAAAAAGAGGGAAGGGAATCTTTTGAGGGAGGCAAGTTCGAAGAGGGCCTGAAGCTTCGCCCTCCTTGTCCTGGAGGAGTTTCAACCTCTGCAGCAGCTCTGATGCTTCCTGGTGGCCTCCCATCCTCAGGCTAAATAGGCTGGTCCCTCTCAGCCAGGGGAGGCTATGGGAGGCTGGGCAGCTGCCGGCTGTTGAGGGCGGATGATGAAAGATCAGCTGATGTTTGGTGATGCCAGATCAGGCCAGGGCTCAGAGCCCCAACCCTCCCCCAGCTGCAGCAGGCAGGCATCCCACAGGGCGCCTATCCTGGGATGGCCTGGATCCCCCCTACTCCCTAGCTCCCCCCCATCTCACTTTCCCCATCGCACAATTGTGTCTTTGGACACACCCAGTCACACAACATGGGCCCAGATCCATCTCTCTCCTGGTCAAAGCAGAACTTCTAGGCTCTTCCCATGCTTCCCCTTCCCGACAAGATTGTGATTTCCTCTGTGTTCTTCCTGACACCCCCACATATACACACACACACACACAGAGCATGACTACTTCCTCCAACCCCCATCAGCTGCAGAGGCCCTTGGGTTCCGCTTCCCCAGCCTGAAGCTTTGGGTTCCTCCGAAGCAGAACTGAGGAACTGGACAGAATCCAGCAGGCCACAAGCCTGGATTCCTCACCAGGGCAGCTCAGGGATTTTCCTCCTCCACCCCACGGCTGAGTCTCCAGGTGGGGCAGCCACAAGGTCCTCTGGCCCACCGGAAGTTTCCAGGGACTTGTTCATTCCTCCCCACATGAAAGAGGGAAAAGGGATAAGAATCTGTGGACGTCATTATTTCTGGAAGCCCCTCAGTCGCCTCTTTGAAAGCTGCTCCTGGGAAACAGCCAACCACCCTTGCTTGATTCTCTAAAAATTAGCTGGTTCAGTTCCCCTGAGCAATGAAGCATCTATCAGCAACAATGCCTTTTCTTTGTTAAGGAAACCTGAATTTTTTTTCCTGTCATTGATACATTTGGTGTTGTCCCTTCTCCAAGTTCTTGCACGCTGTTTTCCAAGGGGAGATTTTTGCCGACAGGAGCCCAAATCTTCCCCGTGTTTGAGAGACTTTCTCTAACGACACAAAGATTCTTGCTGTGGTGGCCCCAAGACCCCAGATGAGGAATTGGGAGGGGGAAATTCTGCCCTTAGAGATCTAGCTGGAGTCCTGCAGAGCCAGTCTGGATGACCTCTGGAGGGGAAGAGGCTCAATTGGAGGGCTACCTAAGGGCATCTAGAGATGTTGGGGAGAAGGGAGGGGTCTTCCACTCAGGGCTGCCCGATTGAACCCCCTCCCTCTTTCCCGCAGAGCTGGTCTTCCCCTCCGTGGCAAATGTCTTCTACACCAGGAAAGGCTTTGCGGCTTTGCTCCGCATTTGGAAGGCTGCCCACTGGGTGGTCGAATGCATCAAGAAAGACACCAACGCAGGTTCTATCTTGGATGAGCTGCCCCGATCACAAGTTCGGGAAGCTCTTTTATTAAAAAACACACAGTGATACGTCACAAGCAGTGAATTCTATCCAATCATTAAGTTACATGAGAAGGAATATTAGTGCACACATAGTAACATCCAATTACAATGCATGGTAGTGTGAAAGGTGCAAGGTAACAAATCAGCGCCTGCATTACAGTTATCCGCCCATGATGACGTGTTTGTTGATTGGTGATCTCTGTTCCTGGTACGCTTTCAGCCTACGTGAGGCCTAGAGGCCTTGAGGCCTGGTATGTACCGAAACTATAGAAACTAATTTATTACTGCATCTCCTCTGTTTTAGTTTTATAGAAAGAAATTTCTTCTGGATCTTCGTCACTGCCCATGCAAAAACTCGTGCGAGCGCACGCATTAGGGTCTTCTGAGGGTATGACTTTGTACAGAGGTTCCTTTTCCCAGAGGGCATTAACCTGTGCAATGGCGCGCTTTTCAGCTAACAAGGATAGACTATTGGAGATAGTGCGAATAAAAATTGGTAATACACATGGAAGAATAACACATCCTAAAGCAATCATACCTATGAGAGCTACTATAGCTTGTAATCCTGGTAGTTTTGGGAACCAGGAACTAAAAATATTTTTAAGATCAATACCTTGCCATACTTGATTAGGATTATAGGTTAATTGTCGCATCTCAGTTGTTAATTGTGCTACTATTTTGCCAACTTTATCAATTTGAAGACACCAATTTGTAAGATTGAACCTACCACACACCCCTCCTTCTTTGGCTAGTATGTAATCTAAAGCCAAGCGATTTTGGTAAACAGCTGTGCGCAATTTGTCTGTAGCAGTTGCTAGAGTGTTTAGAGCTTTGTCTATTCGTTGGCCAGCTAAATCTAAAACAGCTTGTAAGCGAATAATTCTATTAATCATATATATGGGGGTTCTGTACCCCCAGGACCCGTCTTGGGCCCAAGTAGCCACGCCGAAGGTGCAGACGATTCTCTCTGAGCTCCAGGTATCCCCTGTATATTCTGATTGACAGGGGAAGCCTGCAAAGGCATTATCGGTGTTTCTTTTCCTGCGGGATAATGTATCATACACAGGGATGCCTAGTTCTTGCTTAATGGAGATCGGGAGGAGGAAAAAGGAAGGTCTTATCCACCCCAATGCACATGACCCTTGCCAATCTGCAGGAAGGGATGGATAGGCTAGGTTACCACAAATCCAATACATGTTATTTGGGGCTGTCCAAATTTGGGAAGATGTTGTGTCATTGAGATAGGGGAGGTGGGAGGTGTTGAACTTGGCAGGTGTGGTGGTAGCATTGTCAGGTGCTGTCCAAGTCTGGTAGGAGTTATCCCATGTACCTAAGCAAAGGAGGTGTCCTACTGGAGTGGACCCATTTCGGGAAAAGCAGTTTCTACCAATTAAGTTGGTGGTAATTGTCCAGATAAGTGGATCGGAAACTGTTCTAGCTGTTATGTTTCCTACAGAAGACATGTTATTGAACAGTGATGGTGAGGCTTCCAAGGCTTGCCATGGCCATTGTTCTCCTGTGGTGGTTCCCCCACAGACAAAACAATTGGTTATTGCAAGTTGTTTTGCAATTTTTTCTGCCATATCCATGAACAAGTTTTTTGCAATTACACTGGTATCAGGGGCTTTTTCTAATTTCCTTAAATTATTATATACCGACCAACCCAATGATGTTTCCTTACCTTCATATATCACTTCGGTTTTTATGGTAATGTAAGTGTTTGGATCCGATCCTGTGCCATCAATCCCTATACCATAAGTATCCAAGGCAGGGTGTTGTCTGGAGATGGTGATTTCTACCTTATTGTCTGTGGTAGACCCTGATATTCGTTTGAAATGTGACAGATGATTGCAGCCTTTGT